ATTCCTCTACCTCGTCCTCTTCCTCTTTGTCCGCCACCGCGGGCCGCCCGCGCGACAGACCGCGACAGACGACAGCAACAACAGCAGCAGCAGCAGCAGCAGCCCGCCCTACCGCTCGCGCGCCCTGTCCCGCGCCGAACGCGCCGTCGCCGCCCTCGTCGCCGTCGCCACCGCCGCCGCTGTCGCCTGGAGCAGGGTCTACCTCGGCTACCATACGACGAAGCAGGTCCTCGTCGGCCTCGCCGCCGGCGCCGCCTGCGCCGTCGCCTGGTTCGCCGCCACAACACACGCCCGCGACGTCGGCCTCCTCGCCTGGGTCCTGCGGTGGCCCGTTGTGCGCTGGTTCCGCGTCCGCGACCTGCTGCTCGAGGAGGACTTTTGCCAGGCCGGTTGGGAGCGCTGGGAGGAGAAGCGCCTGCGTGAGGACGACGCGCTGGTCCGCCAGGGGAAGGCCAAGAAGAGGTGAGGGCGATCGAGTCGAAACTGGAGAAAGAACCCCCCCCCCCCCCCAAAGAATAAAAAACATGCACGACCGAGCAACGTATGGAGTTGCAATCCACCGGGCCGCCATAATTATCACCGACTGCACATGTTCATGCTGAGCCCGTCTTGGATTCAAGAAAGGTACCTAGAAATATGCAGAGGCCATGCTCTAGCCCATCCTCAGTGGAAAATCCCCAACCCCTCTCTTGGCGACTTTTCGGGGCCGGCTTTTACTCACTCGATCACAAACACACACACACACACACACACGCCTGAAATACCAACTTCACCAAACCCAGCGTCGACCGTCCCAGTCGTATAGGTATCAGAGTTCTGCCGACACAGAAGGAAAGTGTAAAAACAAGACGGCCCACGCCGTCTACGAAAAAAAGGGCCATATATGTCATGAAATGTTCTCTCCTCTCCCACAAACTCCTTGCCAATGTAATCAACACAGCACACCATCTCTGTCTCTTACGCCCTCATACTAGCCCGCACGCTTGCCCACTAGATCCAGTCGGGCTTGTGCAGCAGGTCGCAGTTGCAATTGGGCTTGTAGCACCTCTCCTTGCCAGCCCGTTGTGGGCTGGCCATGCGCTTCGGTGTGTCAAAGCCCACACCTTTCGGGCTCGTGATGCGCGATTTGGGGCTGTACGGCGTGTACACGGCCGAGTTGAGTGTCGGGCCCGAGTCGCGCGCCGCCAACGAGCCGATGAGCGTCGACTCGCCGTCATAGTTGTCGGTGGCAGCCGCGTTCAGCGGGGCTCGGCCGCTTGGACGCGTCCTTCTCTCGCTCCAGCGGGCAGCCGAGCACGTGAATCTCTTCGCTATCCCGGAAAGTAGCGAGAGTCGAGAGCTGGTGCGTCCTCGGCGTTGGAGAAACGTAAGCCGATCTGCACCGTGGCATGGGAGTGCATGGAGGAATCGCCGGCGGTGACGGACACCGCCAGCGTGGACTAGTGGTGGGGGCACGAGCGACTGCATGTCATCGTCGTTGTCAACAAACTTCTCACCACGAGGCGTCGTTGCGTTGGGCGAGTACGTTGTCGCGGGAAGAAGGGTGAAGGACCGTGCGCCGCTGCTGTCGCGAGGGAAAAGCGAGTAGGTAGACTTGCGGATCTGGTCCTTGATGACCTGGAGGGTGGATGCGGGCGGTGTCGGCTCGACGATCGTCGGGCCAGATGGAACGGTGGGGGTCCGCAGAGCAGGCAGGCGAGGGGCGTTGCGGCTGTCATAGGTTGGTGTGCCGGTCGGACTCTCGATGCGCTCTTCCTCCATCTTACCATACGCCACGCTGCTGTCCAGGCGCTCAGGCGCCCGTGATCGAGATGGCGAGCCGGCGTTCGAATTGTAATCGTAATCACCTGGCCAAACTCGGATGCCTTCCTTGAGCTTCCTGCGGTCTTTTTCGCACTGCTCGCGGGCACCGATCGTGGCGAGGCAATTGGCGCGGAGGAACAGATGCAAGCCACCTGTGAGAAGACCGGACAGGTTGGCGACGACGGAGGCGATCATGGAAAGATTCAGGGGCTGCGAGCCGGCAGTCCGAAGATCGTTGAATACGATGGCATAGAAGAAGGGAATCATGAAGACCTGTGCGCTTGTAAGAATCGCGTGTTATCCAGGTGGCAAACGGAACAACAAACATACGGTAGAGATGATGGCCATGGTCAAGTAGTAGACCATCCTTGAGGCTGCCACACGCTCAGACTCCTCGATCTGGCAGTTGTTGTGCAGCCGCCAGGCAATGATGACAGTGCAGACGAGGAGCGTCGCGGCAATGATGATGAGGAGGATGAAGACGCCAGCCTTCCAGCGCTGGACAAACCAGAACAAGGAGCCAAAGCAAAAGTTGGGAGGACGAATGAAAAGCGTGACGACAAAGGTAATAAGTAGTAGGGTGCCAACAATGGCAAGGCAACCAGCGACAGTCCATTTGCCCCGACCTGCGAACGGCTGCTGTCGTAATGCCCGTGAGGTGACCTCGAGGCCAAATACAAATTGAATATAAGGGACGATGAAAACCGCTGAAGAGAGTATTAGCAAATAGATTGCATGACGACGGTGAGTGTATCGACGGACCAGGCAACATCATCTGAGAAGTAGTGGTACAGCCCAGGATCAACATGGACTTGAGACCTGTCGACTGTGCGACGGCGAATGTAATGCCCTGGACGATAATGCCGACGGACAAGACGAGGGGAAACGTCTCTGCTGGCGCGACGAAGGTGAACCCGCAGGCCCTGGTGAACGTTAGCTTGACAAGACCTCCCATGGCTCTGCCACGGATGCCCACGCACAAGAACTTGAATCTCGGATCCTTCCGCTTCTTCGTGGCGTAGCTGTGCCAGATGATGCCGACGGCGGTGGCGAAGGCGGCGACGACATTGAAGGCGGCGAGGATGATGACAGACGTGCGGATAGACTTGGCGGCGGCGAATCGAAACTCGTTGATGAGCGCAGCCTGGGAGGTGTCGTTGTTCTGGCCGGCGAAGGAGTTGGACGAGCCGCCATTCGTGTTGCCGATGCCATTAGCACTGCCGTCGTCCCGCGCCCAGAGGTCGTTATGGGGGTTCATCCAGCCCCAGGAGTCCATATTGGCGAAGACGGCAGGCTGTCGATATTAAAAGAGCGTAGGCGACCAGCCGCGACGAAGCCAAATATCAGTAGGTAGCGGAAACCATCCAAGCCATGAACGTTGCGTTGTCGTGTGGGAACGCCTGTGTCTGGTAGATTGGCGTGGCGGAGAGAAAATAAAGGGAGATGACGGGAAGGAAATTGAACGAGTGGATGGAGGATGGGATGAGGGAGGAGAAGAATCAAGCTGTGACGAGCGAGGGCCAGGCCATAGTCAAAAGCGAGGGAACACTGAGAAAACGGCGGACCTGGAGGACGGGACCATGGATGGGACGAAACAGACCCTGAACCGCCGCTAGGCCTGGCTTGGGGCCTATGAATAGCGAGAGCGGCAGACGCTGCTCTGGGGACGGGGTACCGAGCCGTGTCTACAAGGTCAAAGTACAGGCGGCGATACCAAGTACCTCACGGTTGTGTGTGTCCTGCTGATGCTGAGGCGCGGGGAGAACGGGTACAGAGGCACACAGAGACCCAGGCACAGCCCGGTACCATCTGGATGGGCCCCACGCGGACGAGAGGCGAGCCGGCTCGTTAGCAAACGCACACGATCCGGGCATGAGAGGCTGTCGAGGTGAAGCCCGGGGCCACGGCAGCACTGCGATTGGACCACGGAGCTGTACGTGGTGTGTGGGCGGCGTGTAGGCTGACAGGCACAGCAGGCTCTAGTGCGGGAGTCTGGCCTTCTGACGTGCAGATGCTTGGTTCACGAGCCGGGGGCCGAGTCCTTGTTCGAGGGCGTCATTTCGTTGACGGCAACCGACAAAGACGCCATGGTACGCTGACAGGGCTTCCTGACAGCCAGCCCACAAGACCGACTGGGCACGACAGGGAGGGCGAGTGGGATGTTGCAGGGCACCACCTCTCGATGAAGCCGGGTTTCTGTTCGAGCCCCTCTACACCAAAGGTTTGTCGAGCGACAAAGTGGGCGTGCGAGCGAGCAAGCGAGGGAGAGAGCTGAGCAGCAGACAAAGAGCCAGGAAGAGGCATTGACGAGGCGAGAGGCTCTGACGCAGTGATGGAACACGTTGAAGTTTCGTCGTGTCGATGGCCCCTGTTGTTCTGGTTGTACCCAGTCGAACTGGGCGAGGTGAGGTTGGGACAAAGCAAAGCGCTAAGCCTGAATGGGCCTAGGGTCGTGACTGCCGAGGCGTGGATCAAACCTACCTCGTGCCCCTTGCCCCTTCCCCCCACTCCGCCTTCTCCCTTACCCTACCTACCTAGGTAGGTACCTTACGTAGTGGGTGGTCCGTTGCTCTTACCTGACGTGTGGCTTTCACTCGCTCACTTACCTTCAACCTAAGGTACCTGACAAGGTACGGTACTCATCAGAGGAAGCGCAGAGGAAGTCGGTCCGGACAATACATGGCGGGGCCAGCCTCACTGCTCCAGAGCTCTGCCACATCCATCCATGGCGGCGGCATCGCCTGCCTCAGGATTTGTCTTCACGAATCAACTGATGCTGCTGGTTGGTCTCTTCATCTGGCTACAACCTTTGGCTCGCCAGCTCTGCACCTCATCCCAGATGCAGCGTGGCTAGCTGATCTGTGATAGCGAGCATCCAATTAGCATCCTCAGAATGGCATTTCGACGCAAACAAGGCATGTCAACTCGACATCGGTCACATGTTTGCCCTCTGGTCCAGTCGTCGAGTCGACCCCAATATACCTACTTCATTTTGCATTCAGGCTCCCTCGCGACCCCGCCAGCGGACGCTCAGGAGCAGCGCTTAGCGAGGCTCTTTTCCCAAGGCCGGTTCGTCTGTTCCCCTCGATTTGCAGCCATGTGAAGCAATCCCCGTGTCAGAAGGAGAAAACCTTGGCCAGGGGTCAGTCACCTCAGGTGAGGATGAACGGTCTACCATACCTAGCCCGCCGTCCTCCCTTGCTCACTGCAACCACACTGAGGCGCGGACAAGCCCCCTCGGCTTTCCCCACACTGGCATCCCACCCGCCAGATAGCAAGCCCGCGCACCCTGACAGGCTACGGCCTGCCTCCCCGTCAGCTGTCATCATCTCGTCTCGCCTCACAGACCAGTCGCAGTGGATGCTTCTTTGTGCTGTTGAAACGAAGTTGTTCTAGTCGGCATGAGCTTCAGCGCGGGCTAGCACCGCACCATTACCTGAGGCAAGCTGAGCCGGCCGGCGACTGACTCTTGTCATCGTGTTTCTCCATCCTCTGATTCGTGAGTGGCCTCTATCAAGGCTATCTATCGGCAGGACGTGGTGCCTCTTACACAGAGAAGCTTGCGCTGCGGAATGATGATGGCTCTAGAGGCTCCGCCTTCGTGGACAAGGAGGGTGTCAGGGGCTGGACGAAGCCGCTTTCTGGTGTCTGGGATCTCCAATCTTTCACCTACGCCCGTTCTGTCTCCAGCAAGCATTTCGGGTTGATAGCCTGCGATGCGCCAGACGTCATTTCCCAGATGAGTCGTTGCTATTTTGTATGCCGCGGCGAGAAACCTCTTGCCCATCACACATCTTCACATAGAACGACTGGTATTCACCAGCATTCATGCTCCGCTGGTCGATCCTTGATGATCTGACGGCCTACTCTATATGAAAGTCCCGTGTGCAATGGAGCCGCCGATCACGGTCAATCCTTGAGGCCCGGGAGCAGAGTTCGTCGATGTTCTCGTGTCAGACAGCCTGTCTCTGTGGAGCAGGCCAGCTTTGCTGAGCAGGCCAGCTTTGCTGGCCCAGGCTCGGGTCGGACAGCAGACCCAATCTTCGACTGAGGACTGACCAGATGGTCTCCCCATCGTCTAGAAGCCGATGCCAGCTCCTCACGATGCTACCCACTGAAGATCCCAACACAAAAAATCCGCCCACAAGCGCAATCGTCTGGTCCAGCTCGCCCAGTTTCGCTGCCGACTGCGGCATTAGCCCCGTATACATGGCGAAGTGGATCATGACAGATACGCTGTCGCAACAACAGAAGACATAGTAAATCAGTGTGCCAAGCAAGTGGGGCAACCCGTTCTTCACCCAGTTATAGACGGCAAATCGTCGGACCAGCTTGCCATCTGCAAACAATGCCACCGGATGGAACAAGAACTCGGCAGCCCTGATCGTGATGACGAGATGCTGGCCGTCCCCGACGTGGAACGACCACCCGCCGAGGGGCACAACTTGGTAGTTAGCTCGCGCCGAGTTCGCCGAGTAGGCCACCATGACTGCAAGCGTGCAGTACATGTGAACGGGAATCAGCCATGCGAGACGGGCCTTGAGCAGCGGGCCGCCTACGCGCAGGTTGGCGACAATCATGAAGGCGCACGGCAAGCTGACGGCACCGACAAAGTCATGACACAGTACGAAGGGCGCCTGCAGGGCCATCTGACGCGCCGAGTATTTCGTGTCGGTTGGATCGCCGCGGAAGGCTTCAGACGTTCCAGACAGCTGATAGAAGATATCGGTAGCGGCCACGGCGGGGATGAGCAGGAATGCAGCGAGGTCAGCACTCAGCACCCAGTCGTCGCTTGTCTTGCGCTCAAGTGACCAAGAGAGCAGCAGCGCCAGGCCTGACAGCATCCAGGCGCCGGTCGTGCCGGGGCCGTAGAGCGACGAGACAAGTCCCAGCGGGTCGGGAGAAGTGGTGGCGTCCTCCATTGTCCTACTGCCTGGCTCGAATTGAAGGCGATGGTACACTTTGCTGACGCGGGCTTTGGCGAATATGCATGAAAGTTGAAAGTTGGCGAGTGTCCGCCGAAGTTCCAAGGGTACGGAAATTGTGACGAGCAATGCACAGTTGGTCATCCAGACACGTTTTCTACTATTCGAGAGACTGGCGGCCTCACATTGTGATGACGGCAGGCTGTGTGCTGGCGCTGACGATGCAGCATCCTGGTGAGGCAGTGAGGGCGCCACGTCCTGAGCCTCGCATCCTCTCAACCGTCGGAACAACGGCATCTGACTAAGGCGAAGGCCCTGATATACATACAGCGGTGAGGGCTTCAGCTCCCGAGCCACATCCTATTCATCCGTCTGCTCAGCTGAACGACATTCACGTGACTATATCCCACGTGATTCGGAGAAGGCCGACAAGAGCCCCCGCCTCATCTTCCGTTATCACGGGTGGGCCAACCCCGGAAAGTGGTCCTAACCGAAATAGTCAGGTCGGCAAGCCGGGGCGCCACAATTTCGGCAATGACGCCGGAATCGAGCGAATCCCCGGCGTCATCCGTTCCCCCTCTCCCCAGTATCCTCCCCGCTGCATTCGCAAATGCCAGGCCAGCCCCCCTTCAACCCAGGCTCTTGGATGACAATCTGGCCAGGGCGGGACTGGCCCGTCGAATTCGGAGCCTTGCCCATGTGGTCTTGGTGTGGGGAACAGCGGGATCGGCACGAGATAGCATGCAGCTCACAGGCTTCGCGCAGAGGGGGGAAAAAAAGTGTTGATAAAGATGAAGGGGTCGCTTCCGAGGTGAACTTGGTCGGTCTTTTCTCCTTCTCTCTAGTCCACGCTCGTCTTTCCCCCCCGTGTAGCAGCAATCAGACCCGACCTCGTCACGATGCGTGCCTCTCACTTTGCTGCCGCCCTCGTTGGCGCCTTCGCTGCGCCTGGCCTGGCATGGAACACTGATAGTGAGTCGCGACGCTCTCTCGGCTGCGGCTGCGGTTGCGGCTGCGGTTGCGGTCCCCCCCGTCTCCTCTTCGTCAATTGCACAGCGTACTGACGTCGAGGCCCCCAGTCCACCAGCAGATTGGCTTCGCGGCCGAAAAGTTCCTCTCGCCGGCAGCCAAGGCCATCCTCAGCGAGATCCTCGAGCCCGAGTCGGGCGCCAGCCTCGGCCGCATCGGCGCGTGGGCCGACGCGCACCGCGGCACGCCCGAGGGCCGGCACACAACGACGTGGCACTGGATCAACCCGGCCGACCAGCCGCCGAGCTTCTGCAACGTGCACTACAACCGCGACTGCACGTCGGGCGGCTGCATCGTCAGCGCGCTCGCCAACGAGACGCAGATTCTCAAGTCGTGCATCCGCTCCGTCAAGGACGCAAGCTTGTCGGCGGCGCCAACGCCACGTGCGCCAACGCCGCCAAGTTCATCACCCACTTCATCATGGACATTGCGCAGCCCATGCACGTCACGGGCATCGCGCGCGGCGCAACGACATTCCCGTCGTCTTTGGCGGCGTCACCACAACCTGCCCGCCGTGAGCCGTCTTTCCCGTCGTGGACCGTGAGGAAGAGAAATTTGTGTACTTGACACCCGCCAGATCTGGGACGGCGCCATTGTCTACTTGCTCTGCCGCAAACGTCACGGGCTTCCCCAACACGACGATCCAGCCCTTCTTCAGCGACATGGTCGACCGCATCCGCGCCGACACGTACTTTGTGCCGACGCGCGACTGGCTCAGCTGCACCGACCCCTCGACGCCGCTCGCCTGCCCGCTCGAGTGGGCGCGCGACGCCAACCAGTGGAACTGCGACTACGCCTTCAGCCAGAACACCAACGCCTCGGACCTGCGCACGAGCGGCTACGCTGAGGGCGCCTGGCCCATTGCCGAGCTGCAGATCGCCAAGGCCGTGCTCCGCATCGCCACGTGGTTCAACAAGCTCGCCGACTGCAACTTCAAGGACCGCGAGGTCGTCCTCGACCCCTGGCCCATGAAGGCCTGGCTCGGCGGGCCCAACGCTGGCAACTAAGTCTAATATTTGTGCTGCTGCAGCGCTGTTTTCGTGTACATAATTTGTCGATGTTCGACTTGATGATAGCGGGAAAAGAAGAATTGACTCTAGACGTTGTCCGGATGGTGCCATTCAGGCGTACTCCGAGCGTGATACATGTGATTGCACTTCACCTTTTTGCGGAGGGCGCCGAAAGACGTCTCGATTGCGTTGGGGCGCCCGAGGGGGGGGGGGGATCGGAACACACGGCACCAGGGGCCAGGGACGATAACCCCTGCTTTCCCTCCTTCAATGAATATGGCCTGCCCGATTAGCAGTACCTATTTCCTTGCCTGAACACTCTGAGAGTTACGCTGTCGTAGCGACTCCAGACACATGTGCTCCATTGGTTTACCTGTCTAGGCCCCCTTCCCTTGTCTCTTCGGCTACCATGAACCGTGGCCAGCACCCTAACAAAGCGGACCACGCACGCTACAGGTTCTTCTTCGCCAGGACCTTGTTCGCGTCGAAAGCCCTCGTAATCTCCTTGAATGCCACCCATAGCGCCCACGCCGGAATAAAGACCCACAGCATGTTGAAGAAGACGAGGTACAGCCACAGGTACATCCAGTTGCTCGTGTCGAGGTTGATGTTGCCGGTCAGCCACTCGGGGCAGAACGTCATGAAGCCTGCCGAAACACGCGCCCTGTCAGCCGCGACCTGACGACAAGGGGTCTTGGGTCACACTCACCACCGTAAATCTCCGCCGTGGCAATCACCACAATCCAGAAATTGACCTTGGGTTCGCGCCGCGCAATCAGGTAGCAGATGTAGACGGCCAGCGGGCCGGCGCCGAAGACGGTGAGCAGCTCGAGGCTGATGACGCCCTGTTTGGGAAGTCGCCGTTAGCATTGCACCGACAAAGTACCCGCGCGCAAAGAAAAGTCCCACCAGATCAGCACCTGCCCAGCGCTTGTCGGCGTTGGCGTAGACCATCCATAGTTGGGCAAAGGGGTTGTCGCCGCCGGCCTGGGCGCCGTAGACGCGATCGGTGTGGCCGAGGTAGTTGTAGGGCGTCGGGTGGAGGGCTCCAATGTCGGCCACGTCGGCCACGTCGGCCACAGAGATGTAGGAGAAGAAGCAGTGGTAGAGGAAGCTCCCCTCGAGGAAGAAGTGGATCAGAGCATCGAAGGCGTGCCAGATGAAGAGGACGCGGTACGTCGTCGACGTGGCGGGGTGGAGGACGCGTCGCGAGACGGCGATGGCGACGGCTAGGAGCACGACGGTTGCTGCCAGGGAAATGAGAGTCGTCTGGTCGAAGAGGTCCGGTGGAAGAGAGCTGGCGTACGTCGACATGTTGGGCGGTTGCAGGCGATGGTTTTGCCGCTGATGTTGAGTTGTCGTTGGAATCTTGGCCGATGGCTCAGTGCAGGAGCTGGCCAGTTTGGCGATGTTACCTTCGGGAGTCCGTGCACAACAATTCCCCGAACAAGTCGATCCACATGTTGCGGTATTGTAGAACATGGGGGATTTGAAGGCTCATGTCGCAGAACGAGTTCTAACATTCACTGCAAATATAAGTCACTGCAAAAACAATTGTGGGAAGTGTATGAATTGCGGGTAAACTATCTAGGATCTTGTCCTCAGACTGTGTGCTCGTGCTCAATCGCTCCCTCATTCCAAAAGTTCCATTACGCCTTCGTGACCATTGCCGCCCTGATGGAGGGTAGGGGTATCATCATCGTGAAGAGGAGTTGCTTAGTGCTTGGCAGACTCCTTGTGGACATCAGCCTGGGTGTTGTGCTTGGTCTCGTCGAACTTGTCACCGACGGCATCCTTGCCGGCGGAGAGACTGAGAGACACGTTAGTAAACTGGAGACAATGAGAACCAGTGAAGAAGAGAGGCGTACCGAGTGCCGAGGCTGGCGTTGTTGTCCTTGGCGACCTCCTTGTTGGCCTCCTTGGAAGCGGTGGCACCGGCGCCCTGAACGGTCTCAGCGACGTAGTTGGCGGCGTTCTTGACAGTCTCCATTATGAAGGTTGGGTTGGTTGTTTGGGGTTGGTTGGGTTGAGTGTTGCTTGGTTGTAGAGTAGTAGTTGTTGATGGAGAAAAGAAAGATGTCATTGTTGGGTGGCAGAGGTGATGGGTTTATATAGAAGATAGGGAGGGGGGTTAGGGACCTCTGGCGAACCCGCCAGAGGCAGGCGCCCGATCTGGTGAGATCGAGCTCTTGCCTAGCACGACCAGGCCCATCACTCTTCGTACCTTCACGTTTGCTGTGGCTGAATCACAGGTGGGGGGGAGGTGGCCCGCTCGTCTGCCTTCCTGGCCGTTTGCCCGACTGGCCTCCTGGGGCCGCTTCCTGTGCTGGGCCGCTTGTCCCATCGAGGCAAGCAAAAAGGCAAGAGGTTTGGAGGGGTACGCCCCAGCAACAGCCACGATCCGATGCTTCGCGCTGTCTCGTTGGCTGGCCGTCGTCGGAAGACCATCATGTGGTCCCATTGGGGCCTGGGAAGCTACGTCATGATAGAGCACGTTTGCGGTTCAGGGGGGAAGTCACTTTTGCGATGGTCAGGGTGCGTATGCTAGGCTGAAGCAGCATCATGGTCCTAACAGCATGGACTTACTGGGACCTTGTCGTTTCCCCTTCGGCACCATTATCGCCTTAGGGCCGGGGTAGCTCTGCCTGTGGCGGGGCCAAACGTTGCAGGGAGGCAGTCTTCGCCAAACCTGACGTCATTCGTAGCCCGTGGTGGGGCACGCGGTGGTGCAGACGCTGAACACTGGAGCTGCTCGTGCTTGTGCACTTGCTCTTCTCACCCGGTCCTGATGCTGATGCTGCTCGTCGAACACATACCACACAACGCGCTGCGCACACATCAGGCAAAGCGCCGTGCCCACGTCATTTCCACAAACCACGTACCCCTCACCACCCGGATAGCGGGGTCATACCATGCCATGCCATGCCACTGGTCTCGAGACGTGTCTCTCCAACGCGCAGCTGAGGTGTGGACTCTGTTCCGGATTGCACATGTCAAGAAGGCCACGGAATGTACATGGCAAACGTCAGCCATGTGTGATCTACGCTCGTAAGGCCATACCGATATCGTTTTCGTCTCGCCACGTTACGTAGGTCAATATGATACATGATGCTGCTACCTTACCTTGATCGCCCACCGGTACAAACCATCCGCAACAGTGCGTGATTGTTGATGGGGAATACGGCATGGAATTTCAGCACAAAGCCCATGTCTTCCCCCCCTAGCATGATCAGCGCAGCGCCCCACAACTCAATGCCAGGCACGAAGGACAGCAGAGTAAAGGAGGAACTGGGGGGCGTCAGAAAATCTCCCATGTCCAGTACGTGGCTGTGCGATACCTCGGAGCCTCATGCCCACTACCGTCAGAGGCTCAGTCGAAGCCTGTTGTAGCTCTTTTCTGCCTCCTCCCTCCCGTTCTCTCGCGGAGTCTCCACACATCGGAAACCCCCCCTCCCTCTCCCCCAAACACAGAATCAAAACAAGAAGCGTTGTAGCTCATTGGCAGTTTGTGCAGCGTCCAAACAACAAGCTCTAAGGCGTATGACGTCACCATCTTCCACTGCATGTTCTGGACCTGGCGGCCCCGTAGACACACGGTCCTGCTTTCCACAGCATACGGAATGGGCAAGCTCAAGGTGCACTTTCCCCCCATTAAGGTAGGCAGCAGCCCCCCAGCCAGCCAAACAGGCAAGCAGGAGGGCACTTGCCAGAAACCCCCCTCGGGCGCCGCCTGCACTCTGGGTCGACCCACGAATGAGGGGCCGGCAGCTGATCCCAAGAATCGCGACCATGCCCCATTTTCCCCTTGCCACATATTCTGCACCTGTCATCGAGATCGCAAACTCTTATCCCATCGCCCATCGCCCATCGCCCATCCATCACATCACCCATCACATCACACATCGCCCCTCTTTGGCCCTGTGGACCGATCACGCCTACTGGCCGGGGGGGGGGGGGCACCGTCTCTCGCGGGGCTTTTGCTCCGGATCCTCGCCTCCATCCTACTCCCACGAACAACCTTGCTAGATGGACAATGGCCTTTTCTTCGATGCACCGATCACGTACTTCTCCCTTGTCCGTCGCGCCCCCGAGGTCCGTTGACCACTGAGAGATGTGTCCTATCACGGCAAACCGGCCAGAACCGGGCGGACTTTGTCCATCATCGGGCTGCTTCGCCCATCCCGTCACGGCCCAGATAGATCTTGGTGCTTCTTCCCTCTGGTTACCCCACGGCACACGGACATGTCTTGTCGGACCCCTCCAACATCCCGCGTGCCTTTACGTCATGCCTACTGCCCTTCGTCGGTCTCGAACATTTTCCCACGCTGGATGGAGCCTAGGTGTGCTCTGTCTCGTCGCGGCACGCTCTTGGGACGTGTGGCGTGAGGATGAGGCCAGGTGTTGCTGGCGTTGAACCTCGGCGAGCCGAAAGCCACATGTCCTTTCATGCCGCTGTTACCCAGAGCTACGAAGCCAGCCTACAGCTCCAACAAGTAAAGGTCGGACATACTTACTGCCGCGGTCACCTATCGGGACGCTTCGTCGCTCATGCGCTCAGTCCCAAAGGGCAAGACTGCATGGTGCACGTGGTTACACACAGGATCGAACACCAAGCCGTGGATCGAGTGAGGCACTCGGGGCCGGGCCGCGGGGACGAAACTCAAGTAGCCGCCGAGACCATCGGGACCTTCTTGTGGGGTGGTGAGTCTCGCCCTCTGCCAGAGACGACCCTTTCACCCCAGCCTCCAGCCGTCCAAGCCTTGGACGGCCTGCCAGCGCGACATTAGGGGAAATGAATGGTCTTCTCTCCACCCAACTGCTTACCTCCCTCGTGCTTTCGGGACGCCCCGAAAAGACTTGCTTGTAGGTGCCTCGCCTATGGTCTCTGGTAAGTACTGTGGTGGAACGTGTCTCGCCGACTGGTCAATCGCTTTGGCCTCTGAAAACAGTGTTTCGTATGCCTCATGGCGCCTTGACAGGCCGCGTATGCTTTCCTTCGCATCACGACGAGAGAAGTGGTCTTACTGGGTCAGTATGGCGGCTTTCATGTTCGAACCAATCTCAAGACCATCTGCTGTTGAGATACCCCGACGATGACTTCCTGTACTTGTACACCTTGCCTTCAATGCTGCTCTCCCACCCAAGTCGGGCAAAGTGAAGAACTATAGACGCTCGAAGTTTTCTGCAGAAGCCGTTTCTGGGCTGCTCGCCAACATGTCTTTCCAAGGTCTGCCTGGCCGCTGAAGACGCTTGGATCGGTCAGCCGTCAGGCTCTCGGCCAAGTTGCATCCGTCGGAAGAACGGCAAGCTGCGCAGGCCTAAGTACGCCCCTGCCAGACTCGCGATGCTCCTGAGAGGGGGACTCTGTGACGAGGCTGCCCAAACTCTGCCTTCCCAGGGCGGGAATCGGCATGTTGAGTCTGCTACCTTCCGCTGAATCATGTCGAAGTGCCGACAAGAGTATCAACAGACTCCGCACAAAGGCTTCAGTGCTCGATCGCATTGAACAATTCTTCCTCATCAGGATGTAGAGGGTCTGATGAGCTTCCCAAACAGCTGGGTCTGCCGGCTTGGCTCGATCCAAGGCGGCCACCCCAAGTCGATGACAGGAGCTTAGTCTGCTTGGCTTCCCCAGACAGCCGGGTAAGGGTATTGCTCGGATGCTCCAGATACAGGGCGAACAGGTGACCGGCAAGGCGGCACAAGATGGGGCAGCGGTCGGACCTCTGGCGTTGCAGCCTTGTCGCCAAGTCTGAAACGTCCAGAGGGAGTCTGTGGGTTTGGAGGCTATCAGACGGATCGAGGGTTTGCTGGTGTGAGTGTTTCAGGTGCCAAGCCCGCGACTCGTGAGAGGCCCTTAGAGGCGTTGGTGCACACCTCTCGTCGGACTCCTAGAGGTCGACTCGGCTCTGAGTGCCGTGTCCTGCCCGATTCATGGCCTAGAAGGGGCATCTGGATCGTGGAGGCTCCTTGCGAGGTTAGGGAGAGACGGGTGTAAGGGGGAAAGGATGGTAGAGAGAGGGTGGAAGATGCGCGATTGAGTGCTCCGTCCTCTTCAACCGTGGTGCATCCACCAATGCTGCGAATGGCTTCTTTTCGAGTCCTCTTCTCTCCCAGACCCAGCCCAACTGCGCTCAACAGTCTGATCCCAATGGCTGGGAAAGGTAAGCAAGAGATTGAGCTGGTATTATCGGGCTGAAGATGGAGTGAGTACGGAGGTGGCGGAGCAGTACCCCGCGGGGAAATTCGAGAGCAAGAGGACGAGCGACAGTGACAGCTCTTGGCTGCCCGATTAGCAGGTCTTGGCGGCCTTGGCATCAACCACGACACACAGTCTAAGGCTCCGTCTCTTTTCCTTCACGTTCGCTGCGACACTGGGGCTGTTGCGGCGCAACACGTCCGTCGCAACCACATATACGGATTACAAACTGACATGGTCATTCTGCAGCCTGCTTGTATGGCAACAGTCTGAGCAACGTCTCGAATAGCCTCAGACCCACCAACCTGGCAGCGACGTGACAGCGAGTTTTCAAGAAGCGCAGACCGCCCTCTGTATCGCGAGGCGTCCATCACGTGGCCCCCGCCCCCAGGAGCAGTAATATGCCCTGGCATTAAGATTGGGGGAAAGGGACATTTGTTTCTTCGTCATCGGCATGAATGCCTCTGCTATTTTTACTCACGGGGGCCTCAGCTTGGGGGGGCGACGGTGGAGGGTCCCATCAAGCTTATTGATGGCCCGCCTAGGCCGGTCCCGAGAGCCTCCACAGTGCTGTGAATGGTGAAATTGTATCCCTATCGGTCATGTTCGGGTGTCATTCCAGTTTCAAGCTTAATTCTTAGCTGACCAGTCCAGGCAGGAGCCATGTCAGGGTCGAATGCTTGAACGGGGTCGAGAAGCTGCCCGGTGCTCATCATCGTCGCAACGACTGGCCTCATGCTGCCAGGAAAAGAACAGACGAAAGATGTTTTCTTGGCATTGTCTCGACTCGGCCTCATCTCTGTGTCCTGTCGAGTTGTAGTGTTGATCACCCTCGCGTCGTCCTGCGCGCTTGATCCGTCATGAGAGAACCCATAAGAAGCCCTGGAGATCTCCCCTTTCCTCCAATTTTTTGTTGGCTTTCATCATCGCATCCTCATCTTTTAATCTCTCGCACCGTCGCTTCCCTCAAAGTTTGACATCTCGACTCCTGGCGAGCGGACAATTCCTTTCTCTATCACAACGCCGGACGTCTTTTCCAGCTACCCCTAATACGTTTCTTCCCCCGTCATTCTTTGCCGTCCCATCACACATTTGAGTCCGAAATACGCTGTACTTCGTGAAGAATACAAGCACCGCCGCCATGCTGCACAGCTACCACTACTACATCCTGGCCGCCGCCGGCCTCGTCGGCAACATCAACGCCCTGCCCCTGAACATCAACCTCGGCGCCTACTCCCCCGCCCTGGTGGTCGGTGACGGCGAGATCTCCTTTGGCGGTAAGAGCGACGTCAACAGCCTGATGAACGTCCTCGAGGGCGCCGCCGTCAACGCCGCCGCAGGTGTGGCCAACGGACAGCAACCCCCGCCCGCCCAAGCCGCGGCCGTCCAGCAGGCGAGCGACAAGCCCCAGCCCGTCATCATCAACCCGGCGCCCGCGGCCAAGGGCCAGTCCCTGACCTCGGACCAGCAGGAGGTACATTCCCCCACAGGGTTCACCGCTCTCGTCATGCAAAAACGCCAACGGGAAGAGGAACGCTAACCAAGTCAGGCCCAGCAGATTGCGTCCTTCCTCGGCATCGACGGCAAGCAGATCGACCCCCGCGCCGGGCCCGCCGCCACGGGCAAGATAGACGGCACGACGGCGAAGCGCGACCTCTCGGGCTTCGACCGCGCCCTGCGCTACGCCGAGGCCGCCCTCGTCAAGGGCCCCAAGGTCCAGCTCGGTACCGGCGCCGAGGGCTCCGGCGTCGGCATCATTGTCGACAACAACCAGCAGGCCGCCGCGCGGCCCGGTCGCGGCACCGAGGAGGGCGGCTGCTACTGGCGGCGGCGGCGCGGCTGAGGGGGTCGTTGTCGCGCCCGCTTCGCTGAAGGAGAAGAGGGGTGTTGAGGCGCGGCAGCAGCAGCAGCCGAGGCGGAGGGCCAAGGTGACGACCATGTATGTTCGGTCTGGGATCCCGGCTGGTAAGTGATGTGCGGTTCTCTCCCTGGGTGGCGTTATGGAGGGGGTGGCAGGAGCGCAGAATTGAGTTTAAATATCTGATTATTGTGGTCTAAAGGTCTCTCGTCTTCTTCGCCGGAGCCGTGGCGCGAGCATTGCTGCTGACATTGCGGGGAATGTCGTTGGCGGTGCGACGATCAAGCGGGAGGTCGCAGCGCGGGATGGCGCCTTTGATTCTGTCAACTTGAATGTTCCTGGAGAGGGTGTCACGATGACTTTTGTCGAGACGGCGGATGAGGAGGCCGAGGAGCCACTTGATGGGGAGGAGTAGGTCGTGATCGGAGAAGCTCTGTAATCCTTTGAATATCGTGATCGTGACGATTCAATCATGTCTCTAGAATTGATGGCTGTGTCGTGTCCTCGGTGTGAAATCGCCAGCGTGTGTACAGGCGTCCAATACCAAGGTCGCGGTGAACCGTTCTGATGCGGCGCGATGATTTCCTATCAGAGCGTTGAGAAGAGCCAAGTGACCAATTCAGGGGCATCCGGGGCATTGGGCAAATATAAAACACATGAAAAGATCCATCCCGCTGTTCCAGAAAGTAATAGTGAATTGGACAAGGTCGTGTTTGTGTTTTATCTGAGCCAGAAATTAATTTTACGCCGGGAACCAAAAACCGCCGACCAGCCTTGAGTCGAGCGAAGTGTCCTGGTACCTTGCTCATTCATCGTGTTTTCCCGAATCTGTCCAGGCAAGCATCTTAACCACCCGGGCGAGATGTCCTTTAGCGTCCCAATGTCCTGAGAGCTCGCCACCCACGTCAAACGCCGACCTCAGGTATCGTAACCGCCCTAAAGGGGTCTCTCCAGCCTGGTTCCTTGCATGCAAATTTGCGCCCCCAGACAGCAATGCTTGCCCGGTATTCAAATTCGAATATGAACAAGCTCCAGACAATACGCTCATGAGTGGAGTGTTGTCCTGATCATCCAATGCTTCTATATCGGCGCCATGTTTGAGGAGCAAATCTACGACTTCGGACGTCGCATGAGCATTTTGGCGAAGGAAGTGGAATGCGCTTCGACCATCATGTGCTCTGATTTCGACAGAGGCGCCATTCTTGAGTAAACGTTCCACCTTCTTCGCTTGTGGTCGTTTGCTCAGTAGAGAGTGGAGGGCAGTCATACCGTTCACATCCACCAGGTTAATGTCAACTCCGAATTGTAACAACACGGTCGTCATCACAGACATTTCATCTTCGTTATAGCCATATAAACTTTGGCAGAGATGATGAAGTGCTGACTGTCCGAATCGG